TACAGAGCTTCTTAGACTCCGTAATGCGTCTAAGTTCGCTGTTCTGTCAAAGTGTGTATTTGCATATTGCAGGCAGTAATTACTCATAAGGAACAAAAAGTAAACAGAGACCTTCTTTGTGCATTTTTTTTTTTTGCAAAAACATGCATGCCTCTTGCCCTACCCCTACTCCAAAAGTGTTCTCCCCCTAGGTGTTTTGTATGAGCAACTGTGGAAGTCCGTTTTTTGTTTTAACTGTTGAGTTGCGTAATTGGCCTAATTTACCTAATTTACAAGAAGACGTGCTTGTGAAATGCTTTAAATAAAATGTTAAATTCACCTTGTGAGAGAGGCAAAGTCGGCACTGCTCTTCTTGAGGGGGAACTTAAATCTTTTGGGAACCTTTTTATTGAACTTTAGCAGAGAAGACTATGAGCCTGTTTCAGGCTGATGAAGTGCTTGAGAATCGTCAGTGGTGCTGGTAATGGGAAGTGAGAGAAGTGGGTTTTCATATTCCTTCCATATTTCCTGCTAACTTTGGAAAATCTATTTACAGGCTCTGGAGGCACACCCTGCGCAAGATGGTCAACCATGATTTAAAAAAATGTATACAATGTGTTATTACCTCGTTATTTTAAAGTGTGTATTTCTAACAAACACTTATCTTTAGTACTGACACTGTGGCTCAATGGGTTTCACTGTAGCCTCAGAGTAAAGCGCTTGGTTATTTTTCCATGTTTTGTCACAGTTTTTTTGGCTGCAGGCCCAATACTTGGTGTTTAGCCGAATTGCTGTTTCTAAATAGCCCATAGTGTGTGCTCCGCACTTCTGGGATATTTGGGATAGCTTCCAGGATCACCATACACATAAAAGTGTTTTTTTTAAAGCACCTGAAAGGATGGATTATTGTTGTTGTCGCAGTCTAAATTTTATAAATCTTCCTGTAATCTCCAAAATCTGTAGGATTTATTTAATTCTAAAAACAGCACAAATATCTGTGTGTTACCGTAGTGTTTTTCTTGCCATATCATAATTAATCATCATAACCCAGGGATTGTCAGACTTGTGTACTTATCAAAACACTTGTGTAAGGACCTGTCTCCATAAATGCTTTCTGGTAAGAAGGGATCGAGTACAATAGGCCGTTTTGCTGAAACGTCACATGGCTTTTCTGAAACATAAACCCCAGACTGAAACTTGCACAAGAAGCACACACTTCCGCTATCCTTTGGCTTAGAACAAAACAAAACACAATTTAACATTAGAACGTGTACAAATTTAGAGTAACACAATAAAAACTAGTAATAATTTCTTCTGTTTTCTAAAAAGTTACTGATATCTAGTAGAATGGTTAGATGAACACCGCTTCAGTTCCCAAGCCTCTCCTCAGGGGCACCTCAGACATTCCATGATTTTGTTAAATTTCACCAACAGCTCAATTAAATAATTAAATAAATTGGTTTTAAAAGTCAGTGACAGATTGACTAGCTGTATGAGGTGTGCTAGTGGCCAAGTCAAAAAATACATGGCTGCACTGGATGGTCGCTGCAAATACTGGGATGATTTTAGCAGAGGTTCTGAAATGGCTAAGCTGACACACTTTGAGAGGAATAATATCATAGTTTTACACCAACACGAGGATAATCTAAACATCATTTTCTTTGCCTGCTTAAGACTTTTGCACAGTACTGTATATATAGAAGCTTGGTTATTTACTCAGTACCATCCAGGTATATTGAGCTACTCCTCGGATCTGGGCTGCTATGCTGCTTGTTTAGCTCGGTCCGTGTTTGCTGGAGTTTCATTTTGCTTTATATAGAGTTCACTGCAATGGTAACTTGATGAGCAACAGCGTAAGACCCGCTAACCTTGGGCTAGTTTAATGTTTTTTATGTTTAATGTTTTCACTTTGTGGAAAAGGCCTATGGTGTCTTCCCAGTGCTATCAGATGTAGCAGAAAGTTAAATTGTACAACGGTGCGCATTGTATGACTAGATTTCAAAGCTTCTCATCTCAGAGCAGCATGTCTGTGACTTTATGTGCCATTGGAGATTCCAGACCACATGTTTCCAATGCCTTGTCTAGTTCAGTCAAACAGACAATTATTAAACACCAAATTGATTTGCAGTGGTTTTGTATTCTGTGATGGGTTGGCGCCCCGTCTTGGGTTATGTCCTACCTTGAGCCAGCAGCTTATGGCATAGGTTCTGCCCCCCCCTGAATAGGACAAGTTGCTATAGAAAGTGGATGGATGGATGGTTTTCTATTTGACTTTTTGAGTAGCATCATGATGCTTTTTTTAAAAAAAAATTAGTCTAGTCGTTGTCCTTAGAAAGGGATTCCATTTTCAAGGTGTGGATTAACATCGGCACTCATTAAATATGTTTACTCAGTAATGACATTCTGGTGCTGCTTTTCACAGCATGTATAGGTGTCAAGCATCTACTTCAGTAGGTTTGTGATCTGTGATTATATCCAGAAGGTTGTGGGTTCAAATCTCATGGTCGTCAGAGTTATCATGTTGTTGTTGGGGCATCTGCTGTAGGAGTGCTGGGTTTTCCTTGGTTTTACGTTGCTTTGGACAAAAGCATCAAATGATGGCTTTGCTGAAATATCTGGCCTCTGGACTGCAAACTCCTAACCCTCAGCCTCACATTGCCACTGTGCCTCTTCTGACAAAGTTACTCACAAACATCTGGGCTCTGAAATGCAAAATATGTCCTTCCACTCCCAGTGCTGTTACATCTAAAGAATAATAAACACCTATAAATGGGATTCATGTTTATTGTCTTTTTCTAAATGCCTTTGTCATTCCTTTACAGATGGGGGGTGTGTGTTTATTTGGACAGAGGACATTTTGGGTAGGATGTGCAGTGTCATAGGGTTAGTTTCTTTGTATTGTGTAATCAGAAAAAATGGTCATGTGCTGGTTATACTTTCTAAATTACATTCATATATAAAGCTCAGGAAAAAATGTAAAATTTTAAAACAATCTGCATTTTTAAATCCTGGTTTAATCGTGGTTCTACTGACAGAGGGCTACACTGAGCAGCAGGTTGTTTCCAGGTTCAAAATTTATAAGACTGCAGTACAGAAGAACAATGTGAAACAGGAGACACCAGAGACCAGCCAGGTAAAGGGCAGAAGCGACATTCTAATTCCAGAGATGACCGTCGACTTATCCAGTAGTGTCTCATGAATCGGAGGATGACATCAAGTGACCTTTTAAAGGAATGGGAAACATTAAGTGCAGGTGTGAAGTGCACTGCTAGGACAGTTTGTATCAGGCTACTTGAAGCAGGACTGAAGACCCATAAAGGAAGGAAGAAGCCCTTCATTAATGAGAAGCAGAGAAGAGCTAGGCTGCAGTTTGCAAAATATATATTCACAGATGCACACCCATAAATTGAGAAATGAGTGAAATGAAAAATGTTGCTGTGGTCTCAATTTTTTCCAGAGCTGTTTATACAGTATAATAGGTTTATAATGTCACCAGTTTAGACCACTTAGCATAGCACTTGACTTTGATCTGGCTCTGATATTCAGCATTCTTGTGCCTTGACCTCCTGCCACTACGTTAACATTTCAAAGGCCTTGACTCCAGACTCAGTTGTCCTATTTCATCTGATCCGACACCTTTCACAGTAGGCACAAGGAAAGCCACTGTGCTCAGCGTATAAAAGGCACAGCAGTGAGGTAGAACAATGCCTTTTGTTCCAACAGACCAAACCCTCCACCCTGGTTACAGTAGCAACCATTGATGAGCTCATAGTGACTTATTACTTGGGGGAAAACACAGATGACATCACTCTACCCCATTCTGTTCCTTTTCCTATTTCATGTCCTCCTTTAATCATCTTCACCATTGCATACTCATGCCTGCCTGGAGCAGTGGAGCAGCTTCTGGTGGCATGTAGGCATCTGGTGGCATGTCATTCACCCATTATGCATTGCAAAGCCTGGTTGAAGAATAATTATTTAGCATTGTGTACAATAGCATTCTTCATCAAAGCAGGTACTGACCAACAGGCAATACAATTCTGTCAAGCTAAAGTATTAAATTCCTACTTTCATGTGTAATGTGCTTTTTAATTCAGAGTATTAAGTTACTTCTTATTAATTGTCAATGGAAGAATGACTTACTGGACCCAAAGGTTTGGGATAGCTGGAATGTGGTAAAGTATATTAAGCCGATGGGTGTGTGAGATTTGCTCCATTTGGGTGGTGAATGGATCCAAATTACACTGGGATGAGAGGACAGGGCAGGGACATTACAGTATGTGGGTTTGGAGTAATTAGAGTTGAGAACGCTACACAGCCATGAGAGCTTTGACTTGTGGGAAATGAGCAGGGGAACAGCAGGGAGGTCGGCATGGGAAGCAAGACGGCCCTGCAGCCTAAATGTGGCCCGGGATCGTGCATCAGTCTTACACCTGTGTACCGTGCACTTTCGCCATTTTCCCACTGATTAATAAAGCAAGTAAATGGACAAAAGCTGGCAAAGTGGGCTAACAGTCAGAAACTTAGACTGTTGACTAAGGAGTTTTGATGGACGAATCCATCTGCATGCAATACATCCGTGTTATATTCTGACTGTCAGGACGATGTGATACTTACTTTTGCCTTTACCCGGAGTTTAAACAAACAGCTTCCCGGTTGTGGTTTCAATTTCGTATTGTATGTGCCACACATGATTCAAATAAAAACTTTGTTTTATGAAAGCGATTGAAAGAATACATTTTGGAATGTGCAGGAAAATGTTGATTTTGTGTGCACCACGTACATTTTTTGGGCATCTGCCTTTGTACATTTCAGTTCAAACTGGAAACATTTTTTATAGCATATTATAGAATAAAGAGAAAGTGTTTTAGTGAAACATTTAACCTTTTCTACTTTATTCACGCTACTTAAATTCTTCATAAAAAGAGCTTCTTTTTAGTTGTATCAGCCGTAGCGGGGAAGTTGCAGCTAGAACAGAATTCCTTAAAAATTCAGTGACGCCTCTCTGTCTCCCCCTGTAGGTGAGTCAGGGCAATGTTCCGGGTATTGAGACTGCCTCCTTGGCCATGGACACAGAAGAGGGAGTGGAAGTGGTATGGAATGAAGTACAGTTTTCTGACAAGAAGGTCTTCAAGACACTGGAGGTACATGCCAAATGCACCTTGTTTACTGTAGGTAGATATGCTCACGTTCTTCAGAAACTGATGTATATGAGGATCTAAAATGGCAGAGTCACAGTCACGCACAGCCTCCTGTTCACCTTCTGTTTTCATCTTCTGCAGGACAAAATCAAGGAGATGTTTGAGAATCTGATGCAGGTGGAACACCCCAACATCGTCAAGTTCCACAAGTACTGGCTAGACATGAGGGAAGGTCGAGCAAGGGTGAGTGGGACACAAAGACCCAGCAATGACCCAGCAATGACTCAGCAATGACCCAGCATTAACGCAGCAATAACACAACAATGACCCAGCAATGACTCAGCAAAGACCCGTGGTCTGTACTGTTACAAACATACAGTATATAGTCTTGTAAAAAAATTTGAGGACATCTATTGAAAACCTCTGTCTTTTAACATAGGTAAACACATTGACATTTGATCTTCATTTTATCAATATCAAGAGAGTAAGGTAATATAACTAAACAAACCAAACTTAAGAAATGTCTTTTAAAAATTATTTGTAAAATGTAATTTATAGAAAAGCAATTTCTTGTGAAGAAAAAGTTAGGATACCCCCAGATTTATTACTACTTAAAATGCCTAGAAGTAGATTCAGGTGCACCTGATTAGAACTTCATTACTGAGCATTTTGGAGCAGCCTGTCTTATTTAAACCTCAGACATTTAGTTTGCACCTGAGGCCTTCAGAAAGAAGACTGTAGATGCATATGTGTGTGAAATGGATGTAAAAAGATCTCAAAAGAATTTAAATCAGCCATTCCACTGTCCAGAAAACCATGTACAAATAGAGAATACTCAAAACAACTGCCAAGACAGCCAGGTCAGGCAGTCTTAGCAAGAGCAGCCCAAAAGCAGACCAGAAGATGCTTAAAGACATCTCCAACAATCATAGAATGTCATCTCGGGATCTACAGGAAGCTCATGCCACAGTTCATGTCAAAGTACATCCATCTACCATCAGAAAGAGACTGCGCACGTTTGATTTACATGGGAGGTGTGAAAGGAGGAAGCCCTAACTGTCAAAAAGACTGAAGTTCGCCAGAGACCACCTAGACAAAGACCAGGACTTATGGAACATTGTACTTTGGATGGGCGAATCCAAAATTGAATTATTTGGACACAGTAACAGAGGACATGTTTGGTGTAAACCAAAGAGAGCATTTGAGCAAAAAAACTTCATACCAACTATGAAGCTGGGGGTGGTAATGTCATGGTTTGGGGCTGCTTTGATGCAGTAGGACCTGGCCAGCTCACCATCATATAATCCACTATGGATTATTCATCGTATCAGAGGTGCTTGAGGAAGAATTGAGACCATCTCTCCAATAAACCAAGCAGAAGTGCGGCTGGACCATGCGACATGACAATGACCTAAAATGTTCCTGTAAATCCACAAAGGAATGAAATGGAGAGTTCTGGAATGGCCAAGTCAAAGCCCAGATCTGAATCTGATTGAGATGCTGGGGGGTGATTTTAAACGGGCTGTGCCTGCAAGACACTCTTCAAACATCACACAGCTGAAGGAATTCCGCATTGAGAAGTGGGGAAAACTTTCTGTCAGTCGGTGTCAGAGGCGAGCTTATAGGAAACAGCAAAGGGGAAATACAAGCTATTAGGACATAGGGTGTCCTAACTTTTTCCTCAGTAGGAACTGGCATCTTTGTTAATTTCTTTTGTTAAGTAAGTGAATTTGTTGTTTTTTGGATGGGTGATGCAATAATGTCTCCTTTATATATAAATATTAATTTGAAAGAAGATGAAATATAATTTGATATTTCTTAATAAAGAATTAAATATTTAATGGGGTGCCCTAATTATTTCACATGACTGTATACATGAATGCTGTACAGAGTGAGTGGGACGTGATGACCCGGCACTGACCCGGCACTAACCCGGCACTGACCCGGCACTGACCCACACTCCGTTACTGACACGTGTATAAATCTGCAGTGATAAGCTGACCGAAATGCCGGGAGACTCGTCCACCTTCTCCAGCGGTTCCTCCCCATTTCTGATTGTTTCTGTGTGTCTCTGTCACAGGTGATCTTCATCACAGAATACATGTCATCTGGCAGCCTGAAGCAGTTTTTGAAAAAGACGAAGAAAAACCACAAAACTATGAACGTCAAGGTGAAAAATATATAATATATATATATTATAAATAGCTGAAATGTAGATGTATCTGTATCATTTTTTTTTTGTTTTAAGCTTACTATAAGGATTCATAATTTATTGGAACCAAAATGTTTGGGTCTAAAATCTCTGTATTGCACTAATGTCTTGTAGCACAGTAAGCGAGTTGTATGTTGCTACCATGCATTTAGCTCATCTTTAGGTACACAGCGCCACCTGTGGGTAAACCCATGTAAGAAACATGGAAGTATTTCATGAGTTTCAGTTTAATGTCAGGTGCCTTTGGCTGTTCCAGACACTGTTAGTGATATGATCACTATATATACACTGCTGATCAACAGCCAACTGTGCAATAATTTGGTGGTCAGGGAGGAGGTCAGCACAGGGGTTGGATTTTGAGGTGTTCCTGGAAGAGATGAGTGTTGAGGGTCATGATGGGTAGCGTGTTCCTCACTATCGAGGAAAGTCAGAAATAACTTAGGATGACAAATAGAAAACTTTTACTGTTTTACTGCAGGCATGGAAACGATGGTGCACCCAGATCCTCTCGGCCCTTAGGTGAGTGACACCCCCTCACTCTGCCTGTGTCAGATGAGCTTCCATCACCTATTAGTTATACTGTGCAATTCGGAGATTTCAGAGAAATATCAGAGGGGAGTGTGTATGTATTGAATCAATTTACATTAACAGCATAGCGCAAGTGACAGGCCTGTTCTAGGCACTTCAGTTCCTTGAGAAAATTTCTTTTGAAAGCCTCTTTCAGATAAATATTATAATGGCTTGGTGCTCATTGTGTTTTGTCAGTATCTATTTTTCTGTGTCTTACTGGTATCAGAGCCTGTTAACAGAAGTGAAGCAAACTATATTTGCCAATAAAACGATACTCTGCAGCAGTAAAAGAGGAAACTTCTTTTTTTTCCCACCATAGCTCTTTTTTGTAAGATCTGCTCCTGGGTGGACTGGCGGACACAATCGGGGTGGGGGGTTATTCATGTTTCCATTCCACAATTGGCCCAAATCATCCGTGCCACACAGTTTCAGAGTTACTGAGTAAGCTACAGCGTTAATACAAAAGTAATGCTTTTCCTGCACCTCATCACCAGTACATAACTGGGGCAGCTCACTGGGAATTCTCCATATTCTCCCAATTAGCCACTCAGGCATTGACATGTACTGAAGTAATTTGACCAGTAGTATAAACACTTATAGTATAGCAGCATTATGGAGTAGTATTACAGCTGCTGTGTGTGACTGAATTAGTTACCGCCATTACAAACCTTTTATCACAATGCTAGCCTTTCTAACCTTTTGATTCCGTGTAACATTGATGTCTCTGACTGTTGCATCCAGTTACCTGCATTCCTGTGATCCTCCCATAATCCATGGCAACCTGACCTGTGACAACATCTTTATCCAACACAATGGACTCATTAAAATTGGCTCAGGTGCGCCCCCTGCAGGACATGCAGTGCACTGCACTGCAATCTGTCAGGTCCCCACTGGGGATTTGTCAATAACGCCTTTAAGCCCAGTCTATAGTCTGTTACATTTAATTTGTTTCCTTAGTTAATCGAAGATGAAGGAAATTTATCACTAAATAAAAAACACAATACAATACAAGCAACTTCTGCAAAAATGCATTTAAATTGTCAGGAAAGACATTTTTGAGAAATTTTGGACTTTTCAAAACAGTGGTTGCAAGGGCATGCTGTTATAATTCCTTTTGTGAATCATGTGTTATTTTTCCCTTCCCTCCCTGGCCACAGTGTGGCACCGACTGTTCGTCAATGGTAAGCCTCTGCACGGCGTATTGTCTGCCATATTTCACATCTTTTCCTTCCACCCACGGAGCTGATTATCAAACCCGGATCACCTGTTTTGAATGATTTAGCACAACAAATATGAACATGACCCCTGTCAGACCTCAACCCAGCTTGTTAAGGCTGCTCTTCTTTCTGTGTTTATTGTTTCTGACTATTGGAGGCGCTGTGTGTGTGTGTGTGTCTGTCCCTTCCCTTTTTACAACGTTTTTGTGCATGTGACTCATCATTCGTTGTTCTACATCATTGATGAGCTGCCAGTCTGCTATCGTTCTGCTCATGACTGTCCGTCCTCTCTGCCCAGTCTTCCCAGAAGCGGTACACGGCAACGTGCAGCACCACCGGAATGACAAGCGGACCATGCACTTTTTTGCTCCGGAATATGGCTGTATGCCTGCTTCTCCGTCTCGACCCCACGCTGCTCACTGGCGGCGTGATGTCACATCCGGCCCAATAATCTGCCTGCTCTCTCAGATCTCCTCTGTGACTGTCTGTGTATTACTTACCAGTGGCACTTTCAATCACGCTATCAGAGGTGGACATTTCAGGTCCAGAAAGTAAAAATCCAATCCCAGGATTTTGTTTCAACCAACCAGTTGAGCATAAAGAGCCACAGTCACAGAGTACTCAACTGGTTGGTTGAAACAANTGTTTAAGAAACAATTAAATGATTTACAACAGGACAAAACAGAAGCATATGTGTAGTGAGAAAACGACTAGGAACCAACCAGTTGAGCATAAAGAGCCACAGTCACAGAGTACTCAACTGGTTGGTTGAAACAAAATCCTGGTTTGGATTTTTACTTTCTGGACCTGAAATGTCCACCTCTGCACGCTGTGTTGGTTTAACAGATGTTATAGTTTACCAATTCTATGTAATTTTGTGGGTATTGTTGTAATGCATGATAGGCAAAAATGATATGGTCAATGAAATGCTGACGTTTACTGTAATATTTAGGAACATCACTATACAAAAGCTTCAGCAAATAGTTTTAAAAGGCCTTTCTGTTCTCCCCTTGTTTCCTTACACACACTCCTGATGCTACTGGGCTCATGGCTGTTTGTTTGCTTCCAGTGACTGAAGATGACCCTGCTATTGACATTTTTTCCTTCGGGATATGCGCCCTGGAGGTGAGATTTAGGCATCGGTGAAAATGTTGCTTTCTCGCTCAGATCTGTTGCTGGCTTGTTGTGATTGGTTGCACTTCGCGTATGGCGTAAAATCAGACTCACCACAACCCAAATTTGAATTTTTATTGTGAAATTCAGGCTGAGAAAATTCGGGTTGGGAAATTCAAGCTCAGAAAAACAGGGAATACATCCAGGATACTCAGTAAGAGCAAACGAGTGTAGATCTAACCGAACATAATCCTGGCCAATCACAAGACGGGTCGCCAGTCATTTGAGATGGCTTTTTCTACATTCACCACCTTAATATTGTGTCTGACTTTGGGTAAATAAATTCAAAATTGGGTTGCAGTGAGTATGATTTAATTGCCATACTTATTTTGTCAATGATCAACATGTTTTCACTTTGTAGATGGCTGTCTTGGAAATCCAAGCCAATGGAGACACTGTAGTGTCTAGTGAGGCCATAGTACATGCAGGACAGTCTCTTGAGGACCCACTCATGAGGGTGAATGAAAGTTTTCTGTCTTCTGGAAATTATGTAACAGTCCTCATTAGCTAGTGAATCCACATGCCTCTCACCTCAGCATGATGCCCTCTCTGCTTGTGTCTTAATGTAGGAGTTCATCCAGTCATGTGTGCGCTCTGTGGCTAACCTGAGACCCACAGCGCACAACCTGCTCTTCCACCGTGTACTGTTTGAGGTCCACTCTCTCAAACTGCTGGCTGCCCATTGTTTCATCAACAACCAGTGTGAGTCTTTAGTTCTGCAGCTTTATTATAATCCGGGATAGGCGAGAGATCCCAGTCGCATGCTGAAATCTAACCTAGACCTTTTTTCTTGTAGACCTTCTTCCTGAGAATTGTGTGGAGGAGAAAACCAAGTCAATTGACCCGAGTGGCATCATGGCTGAAATCAAGCACCGTGGCCGTCCGGGAGTGCAACTCAAGTAAGCGACTCTTACGTTGTGTCTGTGCAGAATCTCTGCTTCTTCTGTGGTGAGGTGACTCGCTGTCCTTTCTGCGTGTGCAGGTACTCTCACGTTTCCCCTCTGGAGCTTGACAAATTCCTGGAGGATGTGAAGTGAGTGCTGGGCTCAGGGCTCTTCTGTGTAAAACCTACCAGTGAATTACATTTAATAGAAATTTTGGATGGTTCCTGTGTTCAGACATTGGCTGTGGCATATCCTTGTGCATCCAGGAATGGGATCTACCCCCTGATGAATTTTGCCTCTCAGAGACCCCATCCAGTTCCACGGGCTCTCTCACTAACCCAGGAGCACATGGAGACAGGAGTAAAGACCCCCACCCCAGAGCCACAGGAAATGGAGACCCGAAAAGTGAGCAATGTATAGTACTGAAGTATAGTATACTATACTATACTATCTCTAGGGTGACAAAATTCTGGGAATTTTCCTGTTTATTCCCATATACTCCTATTAGTTCCCCTGGAAAGTTTCCAACTTGGAATATTTCCAAAATTCCCCAGCTTCCCTTCCCATGGAATGGAACGTTCCTGGAAAGTTTCCGGAAATTGTCCGCCCCTTTCCAATCCCAATAATCTCACAAAAATAGTAATTTGTAAGACTGCATATTTGATACACTTTTGTATGATTTTGTCTAATGCAGTGTTTCCCAACCCAATCCTCAGGGAACCCTGCACAGTCCACGTTTTTGCTCCCTCCCAGCTCGGAGCCAATCAGGAACACCAAATACCTGGTACTGGTGCGCTGGGAGCTGAGAGGAAGCAAAAATGTGGGTTCCCTGAGGACTGGGTTGGGAAACACTGGTCTAATGTATGCATGGTATATGTTATACAGAGCATCTTACCAAATAAGGAAATGTAAATGTTATGTAAATTTCTAGTAATGATATACAAATGGAGGGAACTGCCAACAGGAATCACCGCTCAGTGATCCATATTGTGTTCTTTTCATATGTCACCTTCTTCCTGATTGTACCGACTGCCTCTGTTTTGTAGGTTGTCCAGGTTCACTGTAATCTGGAGTCCATTGATGAAGGGACCAGATCTCATGTGAGTTTACCTGCTAACTTGTATAGCAACTCATAACCATTCAAGGTTTTGCAGAATATACTATTGATTTTCTATTTTAAACCAGTTTACAGCACCATCAAAGCATAAATGCACTACAAGCACCACAAAGCAGAAAACAACCATAAAAGACAATGGTTACACATCTTGAAAGTGCCATAAAGAACGCATTAAAAATGAAATGAAAGCATTATGAAATCATGCTTTTTTTGCCATTTGCACCAGTATGAGTGCAAGCACATCAGAATGCTTCTTTACACATGTTCCATCTTCTCTCCTGTGAGACAAACACACACATGTACAGGTGAGAGCTAAGCCTGGAGTCTGAGTACTGAGTACTGGAGTACTGAGTCAGCCCTTTGTCCAGTGCCTATGGAGCTCCTTTACTGAGCATTAACTGAACGTTTCGCAGTTAGGCGTGATGATGAAGTTCCCTGCTGAGAGGATCATGAGTACAAAACACTGTACACAAGAAAACATGAAAAACAATTCTCAATGCTTTTCTCAATACTTTTGCGTTAACTTAATGTTTTACACTTTGGGGCTAGCTGACCTTTTCAAATCAGAAGTGCTTCAAGGGGCCACAAGGGGGCAGTATACATTTGGATAATTAAGTTATCTAGTTGTTTTTCAGATAGTGAGAAGCTTTTAATCCACGCCATCCACTCAGAAAAGACTTTGTTTGTTTGTTTTCTTAATGTTTTTCTGTGTTAAGTTTGTGATTCAGCTCCACAATACAAGAAAGGCTAGAGATGCTGAAGATGTGGGTTTAAGTTCTACAGCCATTCGAGTCTGTCACAAACATAACGATTTACTGATTTCAGTGATACTCGCTGCCTTTTTGTCTGGATATAGCTTATCGAGTCTGTTGTGCGTCACAATACGAAACCAACAAAAGAGGAGTGAAATGAGCACATATGTTTAAAAAAAAAAAAAAGCAAAGCCATTAAAGCTATTTTGAATGATCTTTGCAGTGGGTGATATATTTGATAGATTGCTTTGGAGGATACCATCTGCATGGATGCTTAGAGTAGGTACCCAGTGCTCACTTCTATTCCTCTCTCAAAACAGCTCTCGATCTTCCTAAAGATGGACGACAAGCTTCACCGACACATTAGCTGTGACGTTCTGCCCAGTGAGTCTCCTCTCTTAAAGCCCTGTTTACAGTACCATCTGCAAGCCATATATAACTTTGCCTCTAATATAGTTTGCTAAACATTGAAAATTGCCTGTGATTTACAACTTTACAACTGAATTTCCGTCAATAAATCAGTTACAAAATGGTACACGATAAAGACAGAATATAGTGAAAGTCGTGAACTTTGTAAAATTTTACTGTGATGACCAGACAGGGGGCATCTCCAGTTTTCATTCTTTTATATAACCGATATTTTTCTACTCTCCTCAGCTGACAGCCCAAAGGACCTGGCCAATGAGCTTGTACACTATGCCTTTATCTGTGAGGTATGTCTCTGTCCTCAGTATTGTGATTGTGTTAATTGATGCTTGTGATGTTGCAATTCAGTGACGCTATAAGGATGGATGCTGGTGATGTAGTGTTAATCATCCTGTTGGTTGTGCTCCTCTCTCCTGCAGGAGGACTGTGAGAGACTGACAGGATTTCTACAAGAAGCCTGGACCAAACACTGGTCTTCAGATCGGGGCTCTTCTGGCACAACAGCAGCAGCAAACTGAGCTGTGTGAGGAGCGTGTGTGAACCATCTACAGAAGCTGTGATGGACTTGCTACGTTGCTCAGAGTTGAGGATAAGATGCTGTGAGAGACACTGGGGAAGCACTGGTGGTGGAAAGAGTGGATGGAGTCTTAGCCCAAGTCCAGCATAGGCTACACCAGAGAGGGAAGAGCTTTCAGAGTCTCCTTCTGCCATTTGAAATCCTTACTTCCAGTAAGTGAACTGAGCATCCCTCACAATGCAGCAAGATGGACAAGGTCTCCCTCATTTTTTTTAAAAATATAATTTTTTAATTGAGATATGTGACCCATTTTCTGTTTTTCCTGAAGAACGTGTTACGAGTGGAAAGATTATAGAGGTGCTTGAGCATGTATAAATTTACATGAGACACTCTTGTGCAAAGCTACATGCAAGTAGAGCACGGTCATCCCTGGGGCAGGTGGGGTTAGGGGCCTTGATTAAGGGCCCCATGGTGACGTGATTACTCTGCCAGTCAGGGGATTTGAACCCACAACATTCCAGAAATGGGGGTTGAGGCCAGACTTGTTAAGCTACACCCCACACCTTCACCTAGAGATTTTCTTTCCTATATTTCTGGCTGTGAATTCCAGAAGGTCCATCACATTGTCTTAATTTGTAATTGAAAAATTAATTTGTGAAAACAAACAGCAGGCGACTTAAAGTCACCGGTCACACCTTAACTGGTCACTAAAGAATGTATAATTTTCTGATGCTCTTGCGGATGCTGTCTCTACATTTTAAGTTTAAGTATCAAAATAGGGAACTGGCATTTTTATTTTTATTAACTGACTTAAATCGTATGGACCCACAGATGTTTGTATTCAAATAATAATATGGAACAATCTTAATATATTTGTGCATGAATCATTATGAATATGATATGAACAATATTAATCATGAGGGCAGCGCTGTGGGCTCACAGAGTTGTTCCTCCTCTCTGCGAATGGAGTTTGCATGTTATCACATGTTCCCCTATTGCGTGGGTTTCCTTCCACAGTCTAAAGACATGCACTTAGGCTGATTTGTGTCTCTAAATTGCCCATAGAGCATGATTTTGTGTGTATGTGCCCTTTGATAAACTGGCATACCATCCAGGGTATACCCCAGCCCCAGAATAGTCAGTCAGATGGATACATGCACAGCATTTCCCTTTTAGCACCCAAAAAGTTTTTGAATTTTTTTTTCATGAGAATATAAATAGAGCATTACTTCCTACAAGCATTTACTACATGGCGCTGGAGATTATGTGATGCTACATATTATGCATTTTACTAAAAGCGTCTTTGACTATAGGATGTAGAAGCACTCTATCCCTTTTGTTTAATAGTAAACCTGAGCATAAAAGCTATGGATTCCTTGAATTGATACTTTTGAGTAATACCAACATTCCAGGACCTAAAGGACACAGCTACAGCTGAGGCGGGATCCTGAATGATCCGGGAATCATCTTTACAGCCCTCATACTGTATATAACGACATAAACATGTGGAAAAATATGAGAAAACAAGTTTTACATTTTGAGAAAATAACATAATAGCTGTTCATAAGTTAGCAGAACTGCCAACCAGTTAGAAAATAGGTGATTGTAACATGGCTATGAAGGAAATAGCAGGATGGTTGCCTTTTTGATTTTGTCTTAAGCAAACTGAATACTAATATTGCAGTCAGGGCTGATGTATGACAGGCTGAGAATGAGTGTCTTACAACATTCAGTCATCACTCTTTTTGTGACCTACCAATACATTGGGAGACAAAGCCTAATGCTAACCAGACGCTGCACTGACATTTCCATCTGCATGTTACTGGTTTGCTGTCTTGGCTCCCTGCACTGCTGGCTGCCTTGGGTTTGCATAATGTGGCAAATACTTCAGATGGTGGCATATTGTCAGCTACAGAAACACGTGTTTGTATTCCACCGACCCTTTAAAATGCCTTAGACATCTAATATGGTACATAGTTGATAAAGAAAGGGAATGTATGAGACAGGAAGAACTATACATTTATATTGCCTGATTACTGCTTGTCCTCGTGTAAGATATTGTACAGTGTCAGAGGTATTTATTATTAATAATGATAATGATAATCAATAAAAGATAACATGGGGCTTTTGGCAGTTTGTGTGCGTCGCTGAATCTGTTCACATTATGTTGGCTTCATACATTTAAGTTGGGTTATTTAATGCTCCTGTTCATGCAGCGGTAGCATGAGTCTCTTCCTGGTGGGGGTCGCAGCAAGCCAAGCCTCCATTTAAAACCTAACAGCTTCCGTCACATTAGGAGGGCCTGTGGTTATTGAGATGATATGCACCAACATCCTTCTGGCCATTTATTTTTGCAGTCTGTGTAATAACTGAGGCGTTGATCATGGGCTAATGACACTTGATGTCCCCTGCCTCACTCAACTCACGGGAGAATTTATTACGCAAATATAACTCATGTTAGATGTAAGCTTCATCCAGACATTCCTAACAAACCATGACACATGTTACAGGTCCACCTGGTCCAAGCAGCCTCCTCCCCCTGTGTAATCAACTCACCACCAAGCAAAGATCCTTCTACAGCTCAGCTATCTCCACTGAGTACCAAAACCTAGAAAACCATGTAGCCTGAGAACTACATGAACATGTAGATGAACATTGACCTTTGTCTTGAAGTGCTCTGCTGCCAAGTAGACTTATGAGCATCATTGGGGCTAAACCTGGTGTTTGTTTTGGACAACCTGTGACTTAAACAGAAGTCTGACACCAGTTCACAACTTTGGTTTAGACCTTTTAGAACATCTTACCCAGGTTCTAAGAATAAAAATGTGAATTTCATAACAAAACTGACTGTACAGTTTACACAGACCCAATTTCATGACAATACTGATATCATTACTTTTAAATATTTTTTTTAATTTTCAAAAATAAAAAAAAAATGCACTGTTCTAAATTTACGCACAGAGTTTCAAAACATTTTATAGGTTTTAAAGAACTTAAAATGGTCATTTGTTGAATTTGCAGCATTAGAAGGTCATATTTACTGAAATCAAAAGCTATTCAATCAAAAAACATCTTAAGTCAAGTTACATTTCAACATAGGACCCCTTATTTGATAGCAGCTTCACAATTCTTGCATCCATTGAACTTGTGAGTTTTTGGAGAGTTTCTGCTTTAATTTCTTTGCAGGATGTCAGAATAGCCTCCCAGAGCTGCTGTTTGGATGTGAACTGCCTCCCACCCTCAATCTTTTGCTTGAGGATGATCCAAAGGTTCATGGATTGAGGTCAGGGGGCACACCATGAGTTTCTCTCCTTTTATGCCCATAGCAGCCAATGATGCAGAGGTATTCCTTGCGGCATGAGATTTTCAGAGGTCATTTTCACACCTTCGGGGACCCTAAAGGGGCCGACCAGCTCTCTCCCCATGATGCCGGCCCAAAACACGACTCCGTCACCTCCTTACTGACGTCGCAGCCTTGGTGGGACATGGTGGCCGTTCACCAACCATCCACCACTCCATCCACCTGGACCATCCAGGGTTGCACGGCACTCATCAGTGAACAGGACTGTTTGAAAATTAGTCTTCATGTAGTTCTGGGCCCGCTGCTGCCCTTTCTGCTGGCTGGTGGCCAGATAGAAGGTTTATGGTTAACTGCAAGCCTCAGGAGGATCCTACACCTTGATGTTCGCGGGACTCCAGAGGCACCAGCAGCTTCAAATACCGGTTTGCTGCTTTGTAATGGAATTTTAGCAGCTGCTCTCTTAATCCGAGGTTTTTGTCTGCCAGAAACCTTCCTCATTGTGCCTTTATCTGCACGAACCCATGTGCGCTCTGACTCAGCCACAAATCTCTTGCCAGTAACAGTACGATGATCACGCTTAAGTTTTTGTGAAATACCTAAGGTTTTCATACCTTGTCCAAAGCATTCAACTATTTCACGCTTTTCAGCAGTAGAGAGATCCTTTTTCTTTCCCATATTGCTTGAAAATGGTGATCTGCTTAATAATGTAGAACGTCCATCTTCAGTAGTTTTTCTTTTAATTGAGCTCACCTGGCAAACTAATTATCACAGGTGTCCGAGATTGATTTCAGTGATCCAAAGAGCCCTGAGACATAATACCATCCATGAGTTTAATTGAAAAAAAAAATATTTAATCTTTATGACACTTTATGAAATACAATTTGCATAATAATTTGGAACGTGGTGTAATTGATGCTAAAGACACCCAATTTCTTCATCGCCATATTGGTCGCTAGGAAACAGCAGTGCCTCTCGCGAGCACATAAAACGAGGATTATTAGATAATCTCGCGAGAACTCGATAGGGTTACAATCGGCAGGGGCAAATATCGAAGTATCGCGAGATTCCCTCATCTTCATCGGCGTGGCCTTGTGTGGTGTGCTTCATGGCGGTGGCAGTGACTGCGGTAAATAAGTTCAAGTTACAATACTCCTCTGTGGTTTTGCAATTCGATTGCTGTTTGGTGTGTGTCTGTACTCCTAAAATTAGACTGGAATGTCTGTGCCGAGGGAATTCGCAGCATCGTTTAGGGGAGGGTTTGTGGGTCGAGGGGCGAGAAGTGCGTCCGCCCCCCCCAATGTGGCTCAAATTTGAGGGAAAGCCTGTGAGTTTTGGTCGTGAGTCAGTCAGTGCAGCGCTAACGGCACGCACGGCGGCTTTCCGGGCTGTGGGGGAAGCCGAATGGTCTCGGTGTAGGGTGCTTGTGGCTCGGTTATTTAGGGTGCTCGTCCCTCGGTTATTTGTTCGCTTTGTTATTTAGCGGCGCCGGCTAGCTAACTGGGGTTGGGGGGAGTTCCCGCTTCGCCTGCTAGCCTCAATATGGAGGATTATCCTAGTCCACCTCTGGGTTAGGTTTTTTTAAATTTATTTTATTTAGTATAATTTTTCCGAGCGATGATACGTTTCTAATGTTGCTAGGCGGCCCGCTCCGTCCGGCTCTGCTGAGCCGATGAGAGCATCAGTCGCTGTTAAGATGGATTATTTCAGTTTGCGTTCACTGGTAAAAAAAATATATGCATCTAAATACTTTATAAATGATTGTGTTCGTTTCGGAAAAGGTAGTATTTCTCGGACGGGTCAGATTTGCTGTTTATCCAGCTTAAACGACTGTATTGCTTACACAAGGTTTTAAGGCCATTTTGGGACTGCGAACGAAATTTTCAGGAAAGGGTTTGCCAGCCGGACAGTGCTTCCGTTGCTTTTTACTCACCTGAAGGAATTTTCTTCCCTGTAGACTCTGACTTGAACAGTTAAGTGTCCCAGTTTATTACCCTACGGGTTATAGGCATCAGAACCCCCCCCCCCCCCGTGACGAGCAGGTACTAGGTAAGGGGTCCAATTTCCCATCATGCAGCTGCGCATCCTGGTTTGAGAATCCTAGAGCCTGGTACTTCAGTGTGTGCGCTTAAAGTTTCCTTCTGTAAATAGTCCTGACTTGCAATGTGTGTGGCTCTGCAGGGTGGGTGTGCTTGTGATCAGAAGGTTGCCGGTTCAAATCCCGTTTGCGGAACATCGGGTGCTTAACTCTGAAAAATGTTTTGTGGGTGCTGGATACTTGGCCAACCCTGCACTCTGACCCCAAGCCTCATTCTCACCTGTATTTGTCTGTCTGTGTGTCTCAGGAGTGCAAGATGGGATCTTTGAAGATTGTTTCATTGTACTTTCTACTTGTACAATGACAAAGTGATTTATACTCTATTCATTCTATTCTACAGAGCCAATGACTCTTCAAACCATTCATCATTGCTAATACTACAAAGCTTGGTGATCAGTCTTTTGATATTCTGGATGGTTTATATGTAATAAGCACGTGCATTTTGTGAAATACCTTTACATCACCGTTTCCCCCCAATGTTATGTTGAGTCTTGAGTGTAACAGCTGCCCCTAGAACATCTGTGCACATATTATGAACACTTTCTATAGACATCATATAATTTAACATCATTTATGATCTTAAAGCCAGTGTAAATCTGTACGTCACCATTTTCATCTTAATGTCTCAAATTCCTGTTTCTGTAGCTGCTTAAACTGCTCTAAATATGCAAACAAAAAAGAATTTTGGCACAGTTTATTAAATCAGGAATTGGGTAGCCTGGGTGTTTTTGTAGACATTTGGGTTTTTATTTTTCAGCCACACTTCTCTCAAGATATGTTAACTAAATTTGGGAGAAAAAATGCTTACGTTTAATCTCCTTTTGACTGGCTTTACTGTTCAGATTGTTGCCTACCAAATAACTTTTGATCTAAGTAGGTTTGTGTTTTTCTTTTCTTTTTTGTTGTTTCTCTCTGTGTCGTTTGTGCTGTAGAGCGTATCTCTTGACTGTACTATATTTCCAAATCCAATGGCAGAACTAGTTGGGTTCAAACCTCCTTAAGGGGGCTGTGCATCATGCATCACTCTGGAGTTCATAAAAGAAAAGGTACTTGACCTTTTTTCTGTGTCATAGTCAATAAGGTGGCTTTCTCATGTGGGGCATAGTCCATCCAGGCTTAGGAGACATTTAGGGCTTCCACATGTAAACGAATTTCACATTATTCTGAATTAACTGCATGTATGAATATTCTAATTTTGCACTATAGAAGTGAATCCTTGTAAGACAGGTTCAAGATTTAAGCTATTTTTGTAGTTGCATTGATTAAAACACGTTAAAATGTTGAATTCCATTGTATTTGTCATGTCTCCAGTTACCCAAATTATGCAAATGTTGAGCAAAGTTATATGTGAATGTTTTGATGTAATCCACGTTTGTTAATATTAATTGCTGTGGTATTTCAGAGCAGGCTCAAACATCACTGTTCCTTATGAACGGTACTCTCTGAAGAAACAAACTTTGTATAACAACCTTTACTTGTTCTGTCAAACCCAGAGTACTGTAAGATTCAATGCATCCAGTTTGGATGGGAAGGTGATCATTCTGTTAATGTTTTTTTTTTTGTGAGAAAGGAGTTGGTTGGTTGTTCATCAATGTGTTACTCTTAGATATTCTTTTTGGAAAATTTTGATGCTAAGATGACAATAGTGCTTTGGTTCTGAAAACCGAAGATGAAGTGAACAGCCAACCAGCTTCTGTTAGCCTGCAGTCTGAGTACATTGAGTTTGCTCTGAAACAAAGTGCCCGAATGTACTGAGTATTCCTTCTGGAATGCGTTGACGTTTGGGGAGGGAGGGCGCAGTGAGCCTGCGCCTGCTTTTCCTTCACTCCCCCAAGGAGGCTCTGAGAAACTCTCGGTTCTGTCTGTGCTTTCAGGGAGGCGAGGCTCTGATGATGGAGAATGGACAGAGCACGGCCTCGAAGCTCGGCCTGCCACCTCTCACCCCCGAGCAGCAGGAGGCGCTGCAAAAGGTGGGCTGGGCTTCCAGTTGCACATTACACAGCTTGAAGATACAGCATGCAACAGTAAAATGCATCCTCCTCTGGATTTGTGAACATTGCAGAAGCTGAGCATTCTGGCCTTTTGGCTTGGCACTATAAGTTCAAAGCTACTAACTTGTAACTACAGTTAAAATATGGGCTGACTACTTCACCAAAATCTGCTTACAAGTTGCAACCAGGTCGGGGTTCACAGTAGTGATTTAAATGGCGAGGAGCCATTTAAAACAAAGACAATCCCTTGAATACTTGTGTGTAATTGTTGGCTGACGATGCCGCAAACTGATGGTGAGTTTCACTCTGGGTTCTGTCTGTAGTCTAGGTTGTAGGACAAAATATTTTTAATCCACTCAATCAGTGTTTCGTTCGTCTTTGCATGTATACCTGTGTAGAAATGCAGAAGGGTGAGTTTTGACAGACATCCTCTTTGCAGGCAAAGAAGTACGCAATGGAGCAGAGTATAAAGAGCGTGCTGGTCAAGCAAACCATTGCCCACCATCAGCAGCAGCTCACCAGCCTGCAGGTGAGCCCCAGTTGCAGTTGGGTCTAGCCCGCCGTACCCTGGCCCACTAAGGCCAGTTTCTGAAAGGTATCTTCACGGTAGCTGCTGAGAACGCAATCACTGGGTCACATGATCAGTTTACTGTTATGCTTAGTCATAGGAAGTCTTAGAGTTTCGTTTGACTCTCCGGAGAAGTCCAACTTAGGGAGTGGTGTCATTTTTGTTTTTTGTTAGGTTTGTCTACTCTTATCGAGTTCTAATGTAACGGTTTTATGGATTTTTGATGTTGTGATGTCAGTCCTGCATCCCTGATTTGAATGCTCCACCTGAAGTTGAGCCCATTAAACTCTGGAGCACAATGTCTTCAAAATTAGGATCGTGAAGATTTTTACGTGCCTGGTATGTTTTTAATAGCCGGTTACATAATGAGACCAGAAGGGGACACTAAAGGCCAGATAAACAAAACCCAAATACCATGACTTATCGTGCAGCTGGTGATACAGGTGGTATCTTTAGGCTCATGGCTTGATTTGATCTGGTTTCAGATGGCATCTCTGACGATGGGCTTCGGAGACGCACTCTCGCCTTTGCAGTCGGTTCGTTTACCGTCCGCTTCATCACCCCACACATGCATAATGTTTAATGCTCATTTTTGTGGTCTGCGGTATGGCCTGCACACCTTACAATGCTGTAAATGAGTCTTGTCTTTCCACGAGTATGTCTGTGTTACACTGCCAACGCAATAAAATGGTAAGAATCTAATTGGAATGTTCTGTGGGATGAGAACTCGACAAGGAAATTTGATAAAATGCACAGATACACTTGGCTGACAAACATATCTTGGGTCCAGGAACTTTCCAGAGGGGCTTTTTGTAGTACTGTGTACATGTTGTTCTTCCATTCCTAAACAATTTGTGCATAGATATTTGGAATGTCACAACCCTGAGGCATGCTGGGAGTCCAAGTCCCTGCCGCTGAAGCGCTCTTTGCTACCACAGGTGGCGGCTCAGCGCCAGCGCGCCCTCGCCATCATGTGCAGAGTCTATGTGGGCTCCATCTACTACGAGCTGGGGGAGGACACCATTCGGCAGGCCTTTGCCCCCTTTGGCCCCATCAAAAGTATCGACATGTCCTGGGACTCTGTTACTATGAAGCACAAGGTAGGACATTTATTTCAATTTCCAAATTCAGTTCTGACATTTGCAGCACTTTGACTGGCTCCTTTAAAAAAAAATTGAGAGATTGTGCTGCTCTAAAGTTTGTCCATATTTTTAAGGCCCAAATGTCTTGTTTCGGTTAACTTAAGTGTGACATTGCGTTGACCCCACTCCCCTGCTAACAAGCCTCCTGTCTTCTGCAGGGCTTTGCCTTTGTGGAGTATGAGGTTCCTGAGGCAGCACAGCTGGCCCTGGAGCAGATGAACTCTGTGATGCTGGGTGGAAGGAACATCAAGGTCAGCTTGCTTTAGAGCAGCTGAGCTAGACACCTGGGGGTCATCCTCGGTAGCATGGGGTCTCCCTCCGTGGTAACCTTTGTGAATGGTGGTGTAGATGCTGGTGAAAGATGGCGCTCCTCATCAGCTCAGCAACCCTGCCGATGATGTGGATCCTTCTACAGGTAGGGCGGCCCAGCAACATCGGTCAGGCACAGCCCATCATCGACCAGCTGGCGGAGGAAGCCCGTGCCTTCAACCGCATCTATGTGGCGTCCGTCCATCCCGACCTCTCGGACGAGGACATCAAGAGTGTCTTTGAGGCTTTTGGCCGCATCAAGTCCTGCACGCTGGCGAGAGACCCAACCACGGGCAAACACAAGAGCTATGGCTTCATTGGTAAGAAGGGCTGTGAAGCCCTGCCCTCTTCGTGGCTAGCGGCCCTGCTACCTGTTGTCGTGGCTAGCGGCCCTGCTACCTGTTGTCGTGGCTAGCGGCCCTGCTACCTGTTGTCGTGGCTAGCGGCCCTGCTACCTGTTGTCGTGGCGACCTTGTTGAGCTCTACTTTCATTATCATCTACAGAGTACGACAAGGCGCAGTCGGCTCAGGATGCCGTGTCCTCCATGAACCTCTTTGATCTGGGGGGGCAATATCTGCGAGTGGGGAAGGCTGTGACCCCGCCGATGCCCCTTCTGACCCCTGCCACGCCTGGGGGCCTACCGCCTGCTGCCGCTGTGGCTGCTGCTGCTGCTACTGCCAAAATCACTGCCCAGGTAAGTCTCAGTCTTCCGCGCTTTGTAATCAACTCCATCCACTTTGACCCTGTGTGTTATCATGATCAGCGACTTGGGTCACGACAGCCCAGCTTTACAGGTATGGCAGCAAACTGTTTTGTATGCCACAGACCCACATGCAGAATGCAAATAAACCGCTCTGAAAGTGGACTTGTTTGCATTTTCTACCCATGAATCTCAATGTCACTTGTACGAAGTTATCCACATTTATATGCCATGTTCAGCTAGTCTTCCTCCAAAGGCATTCATGACTCCAAAACCTTTTGTTTACATCTTTTTTTTTTTTTTGCTCTAGTGACACATGACCGCTTGTTTCGTGTAGCCAATCGTGGATAGTAGGTGGAGTCAGAATAAACAAAGTTCCTCGAGGCCCTTCAAGAATTTCAAGAATTGGTCTGATCACTGCTCATACGACGACATATTGCTGAAACTGCATTGATTCCATCTAATTCATTGAACCATGCTGCCGCCTTAAGGGCCAGCATTATGGAAAATGCTCTTGACACTTTATCTCCAATTCGTCAACATTAGTTACCTGTTCATTAATTTTATTGTATAAACAGAACAAGTATGCACTTGTATAGTTCTTGAATTCCCAAGTTAAGTCATTTGGAAGCTTTGGTGAGCAGAATACCTGATGGGCAGGAAACAGACCTGCCTTCCAGTAAAATATGAAGGTTTTAGTTAGACTACCCTGCTTTGCTCCTGTAGGGAGTGAGGCTGCCTGTATGGATCATTGTCTGTCAAAGTACTAGAGACAGAATGAGTCCCTGGGTGTTTGTGCTGAATTCAGCCGCCTTTCCTCAAACCTAAATTGGAACAGCTTTCTGGTTGCTGGTTGTTTACTGATCTTCAACCTCAGTGGCCTGTACTACGAAGCGGGGTTACTGGCTTATCGGGGTAACTTGTTGGAAGAACCCCGCTTCGTAGTACAGGCCACAGATGCGCCTCCCCTAACAAAACTATCCACCCATCTAATTTTTATGTAGGAATATGTTTTACATGCCTTACATCAGCGTTTCCCAACCCGGTCATCGGGGACCCCCAAGCCATCCATGTCTTTGCAAAAAAAATGTGGAAGAAATGTAGACTTTCTGGGAGGGAGCAAAAACATGGACTGTCCTAGGGTCCCCAGGGACCGGGTTGACAAACACTGCTTTACATTTCTAACAGTGCTTCTCACATTAGCAGGTGTTATTGCTCTCATCTAGTGTACGATACCCCGAGCTGCTCCCTTGCGAAAATCAGTCTTGTTCGTCTTTACTGTCCCTGCCTCACTGGCGCCGCCCCCATGGTGTTTTCTGTTCTTCCTTCCAGGAAGCTGTAGCTGGGGCCTCTGTGCTGGGAGCTCTGGCTGCACCTGCACTCACCCTTAGTCAACAGCTGGGGGCGCTGCCACAGGCTGTCATGGCCTCCCAGGCACCCGGCGTCATCACAGGTACGTGAGAGAGGAGCAGAGCAGGTTGCAGCCTGTGGTTGCCCTTGGGTGGGAGTGGGGGTTGCCGCCATCTTGGCCATTGCTGAGAGGCATTCTGCAGTCGTGGGGTTGAGGGGCGTGCTTCCCTACTGGGCCACGATTGGAGCGCGCCATTCCTGTAGTTCGCCTCATACCCTGAGGCAGTGTGTAAAACGGATGGTTCCTGACTAGAATTAGGTGTGAATGGACTATGGGAACCTGCAGGCTGTGCTGCTGGTGATATGCTGGGCAGGTGCTTCTGGCTTAAAAAAGCTGGCTTCTCTAGCTAGTTTTAGGTTATAAGTCTGCTGTATTTACAACATTATCCAGCTGGAATGATGAGCTATTTCAGCCAGAAGCTGGTTAGTGTCAAATCCCTAAATTTGGCTAAGCTTAGGCTGTTCACCCTCGGCACTGTTGAAATACGGTGGACATTTTAGCTTTATTTTGATCCTGATGCTCAATCCCGAGGACGTTTTGGCTTCTTTTAGATATGTTGCTCCTCCATAGAATCTGAGGTTATGCGACAGTATGGAGTTTAGTAAGGTGCTTATACACAGAAGAAGCTGTACTGGTAGCTGTACCTTGGTTTCATCGCAGTTAATTCTTTGAATTGAATTAATGCAGGGATGGATGAAGTTTGTTTTTTTTTGTGTCTTTCAAATCAGCTTGCTCTAAATGTATAATGCATTTGTTCACTGCATGTATAAATGTATAATGCTTTTGGAAGACCCATCTTTTAAGGTACCTGAAATGACTCTTTGGGTACTCAAAGTAGTCTGCTTTTCTCTTTGAGAATTCCAGGCATTAGCAGCCTTACTCTAGTAATGACTGGGTGCCCAGTGCTATGTTACAGGGATCAGAGGCCTGCAGATTATGGGAAAGACGCTCAATTTTGCATTGAGTCACATCTAAGTGACCTGGGGCCTCCAGTATAAAGGCTGCGTACCTGCAGAAAGGTTGCGTATGCTGCTATGACATTTATAGAGCAAACTTCTGTAAACCTCTGTTCTGATTCTGTCAACTGGCAACATTAAAACTGAAAACAATGAAACCATTAATAGTCATCTTTCTCTACGACGGCAGCATCAAACATTAATTGATGGGAACCAATGACCTTTGGGAGATATATAGGTATAAATGGATAGGGATGGCTGTATGCATATGGATATACAAGTACTTGGTGGGTCCCTGTGAGTAATGTCGAGGTCAGGGTACTTACTGCGGAGTGTGGGGGAGGTGTGCTTTACGAAAGCCCCTTACGAGCTGCGGTGATTTTCCCCCAAAAAAATTATAGGTAATTTAGCCAATCAGCACAGCCATCTACTAGAAAATCATTCTGTTAACGTGTATCCATGAAATGTTCACAAACTATCACTGGCCATAAGTTTTATGTGATGTTTCTTTACGTTAGTAGCAGGACCTAAAAGATCTCGATCTGTACGACTTTGTACAAAAAAGTCGATTGATCACGATATGAAATCGTCATATCACCTGCCCCTAAGCTTGTGTATCTCTCCCCAGGTTCTTGCCGCAGTGGGATCGGTTGGGTGTTTCTCGGTCAATGCCGAGCTAAGTCATCCATATGGGACGTTATAATCCGTATGGCATCCAGATTCATAAGATTTCCTTATACTGTGGTTAAACATTACATGTGGAAAACCGGTCACCATGACATCAGGACGATCAGCTGTCCACTTTCAGAGCGTTTTTTAAAAATATCGGCTACTGTGTGGGTTTCTGGGCCCATCTGCTGCCTTTACTGCCAAAGTGAGACTGCCACTCCATGGATCAGAGAAAAGCTCCTAGCGTTGTTTTGTCCATCAAGGCATATTTATAATTAAGTGGTGTTCAAATATTATTGTCAATTTAGGGGTGGGCTTGTGCATGTGTGTGTAGTTTTTCCTTTGGGTATATAAAGGTCTGGTGCCCAGCATCTGCTGCATTCACAGTGTTGTATGTCTTTGTGCTTATGCACTTCTCTACCGTCCTGCATATGCAGCCTTTAAGTTTGAAATCTACGCAGTGTTTTATACACGAGGCCCCAGGTGAGGTGGGTTACTGCGAGAGTAGAATCTCCGAATTGCTTTGTTGGAACGTGGATGGCGGCGGGTGAGCAGAGTAAGTCGAACCTGTTAGTGTAGAGGCCTCTCAAAAACGCCCAGTACTGCTCCTGATTATTACCATTAAATGACGCAAACCTAATCCAAAGATTAATGAAGGTGTTACATAGGTGGTGAAAGACGAGGACCTGGTTCCAAAAGCCTACTGGTCCTCTATATGCCTACTGCGACAACAAAAGCAGAGGCAAAGGGATGGTGGGGTTGCTGTAATCTTCTGCTGAACAGCAGTAGACAGGTGTGGGAAATTGATTGATTGTTCTAAATTATGGCAAAGCTGAGTTTCTTAGGACAGTGTTTTGTCTATCCGGTTTAGGGCTCTAAAACAAGCCTCAGTTGTCAAGTTTCCCAAATCCCTGCATTGCTTTGGTGTCCTCATGTCAGGTTCCGCCCCCCAAATACATCTCTTCTGCAAGTAGGTTGTCTTACCAGCAGTCTGTAGGATTGACATCCTTCACAGAACATGCTTGTTCGCCGGTGACAGACTTTGACTAATACATTTCTTTTCTATTCTTTTTCTCTTCTCTTTCTCTTCCCCTCCCTCCACAATTGCACGGAGACCCACTATATTCCCTCCCTTTGCTGCACACTGATCATCAAGTGTGAAGAGGACTCTCTCTCCAACTGCTAGTCTCCCCTATAAACAAATCTCTCATTCCCATTGGCCAGTGAGTTGCAGGTCTCGTGTGTTTGTGGCTTAAGGTTGTGCCACTTAGTGTTGATCCGCACCATCCTTCCACGCATGCACACAACTGAGAGGCGTGATCTTCAGATGACATCTTGAATTCATCTCTATTGTGATTTCACATAGGGCCAGTGGTTCAGACATGCCAGCGCAATATTCTTATGTTTTACTGGTTGCAGAGAACAATACAAGGCATAAGAACCTAATAATAGTGGGAGATTAGTCTTGTCCATATGTTGATAATGAGCTGAGTGGTAAACCTAACCTCCAGGTCTCTCGGAAACAAGTCCTTTTTACTCTCCCTTTTGCAGTGCTCATCTTACAGCTGTAGTATTTTCCCCTATAGGAGTGTGACTCAAGTATTTTTACAGGTCATCCAGTGCGTAGGTTGAGCAGTTTGAGTTGGAAGATTAACGGCTCACCATGATGAACTTGCTTAAGGCATAACAAGTGTGTCAGGCTTCTTGTAAAACGTCATCTTTGCCATTGAACAGCACTTGACTTGACCAGTGAGAACTGACTCTCCGTCCATGTGTTGTAGATGACATTATTTCTTATCAGTTTGGCCTGGAATTTCATCCGCACATCACATTCGTTCAGTTACAAAGTGTGCACTGTCTGGTATTAGGGTAAGATCAGAAGGGGGTCATTCATTTTATGAACTCCTAAGTTTAACGCAACACTTCCTTGAATCTATCAACTTACAGGGGTGACTCCAGCAAGACCTGCCCTCCCTGTGCTGCCCCAGGTCGGGCTGGTTAACCCAGTGCTAGCCTCCCCACCAGTGCTCTCTGCCGTGGTGGTGGCGGCAGCAGTCCAGGAGGCCAAAAAAGAGAAGGAGGAGGAGGAGGCATCTCAGGATGGGACTGGACAGGAGATGCTGAGTGAGCAGGAACACATGAGCATTTCGGGCAGCAGTGCCAGGCACATGGTCATGCAGAAGCTTCTGAGGAAACAAGAGGTAAGTTTTGGGGAGATGCATGTTCCTACGGCTGTCCATGTCTGCTGAAATCCTCTCAGAAGGCATGAGTTCACTTGGCGACATGTAGAGGTGGAAAGTTCTGGTCCAGAAAGTCCAAATCCCAACCAAGATTTTGTTTCAACCAGTTGAGAATAAAGAGTTACATTCACCAAGTACTCAACTGGTTACTTGAAGCAAAATCTTGGTCTGGACTTGGATTTTCTACTCCAGAACTTTCCACTTCAGGCAACATACAAATGAGGCAGATAATCCATATCTGCATACCCACTGAGGTCCTCTGTTCTTGTGAAATGCACATTTCATAGTTTACTTTAATACCAGAGAGTGAGCTGTTTTGATGCAACTTTAGTGGCAGCTAACCCTGTAGGCTTGTACAATGTTGTGTTGGGATGTATTCCATCCTTCCACTCCTGACAAGTGTCACTCCCCCTGCAGTCGACGGTCATGGTGCTGCGGAACATGGTGGGCCCAGAGGATATCGACGACGACCTTGAGGGCGAGGTGACGGAAGAATGCGGCAAGTTCGGCGCCGTCAATCGCGTCATCATCTATCAGGAGAAACAGGGCGAGGAGGATGACGCAGAGGTCATCGTCAAGATCTTTGTGGAGTTTTCCATGGCTTCCGAGATGAACAAGGCCATCCAGGCCCTGAATAACCGCTGGTTTGGTGGCCGGAAGGTCATCGCAGAGGTGTACGATCAGGAACGCTTCGACAACAGTGACCTGTCCGCATAGACTGTACCTTCTCGCCACCTTTCTCACAAATGCCAGCACTGCTTCTGCTAATGTTGGCATCTTTTTAACTTGTAATTATTTTTTTATTGATGTTGATATTAATATTATTAATGATCCCTTTTAGGGATAACATGGAGGAAAGAAGTAGTCATGGTTTTTCTGTCATCTACTGTGAAGGACTGGATATTAGGTTTTGTATTTCGTTTTCTCAGTTTGCAATAGTCATTTGTTTTCCCTTTTTACCCCCCCCCCCACCCACCCCCCCATGACTACCAAAGTTGGGGCTCTTCTAAGAGCTTGCATCTTATTAGGGTTGTTGGTGTCAGTTACCCATAATAAATTCTTGAAACCTGGGATGTTGGCTGCATTTTATTTATTTTTATTTTTTTAAGTTTTTCAAACAATGCTTGCCTGTTCAAAGTTAAGTGTCCTGTAGTGTTTCTGGCAGCTAGGTGAAACACTGGCCTATTAGACACTTAATGTCTTAAAAATACTAAACAACATGCTTTGAAAATTTCAGTGGTGGTTATGAGTTGGTTCTTACCAAATCAGTGGGCATTTTAAGGTTTTTAACATCCATTGTGTTGGGGCTGCTAATTAACAATCAGGTATTCAGACAAGCACATGTAAAAACTGCAGTTAGTGAACATGGAGAAAGGGCAGCATTGTTGACCGCACTAAAGCCATCTTCTCTCATTTGCGCTGCCATATTGACTTTTTCCTCATGCCACAGAAAAAAACATGCTATTGATAAGCAAACAAAATGTAAATGATATGATTAGTTTTAATCCTTGAATATCGGATAACAACAGATTTCAAGTCAATACATTTTCTCAGAGCGTTTAATAATGCTTTATTGTAATGCCCCATTCGCTCGTCGCGGTAGGCGGCGTGTGGTGTACCTCCTGCCGCAAGGCGTCGCTGTAGCTCATTGACCCTGTCTACCCGAATGAGAGGCAGTTTGAAAGGGAGGAGGCGAATCTCCTGCAATAATAAGGCGGAGTGGAGAGCGTGGAGCTTCGGAGCTTCAGTGTTCACACGCCCGACGAAAAGGGTGGATAGTACTACGCCATTTGGTTTTTTTTTTTAACGTGCTGATTTTCCACTCAGTAACGCTAAAAGCCGGACACCCCGTCCTATCGCCAGACGCCCCCTCCCGTTGTACTACCGCCGCCCCCCCTCCATGGACGCGTTAGGATGGAAGCTGGCGGCGCAGCGCTTCGGTCCCGGACAGTCCGGCGTCCCCCCGCCGGTCGGCTCGGGCTAGGGGCCATGAAGTGAGCTTAGCGTGGGAAGCGCAGAGACTCGGATCGCTTTATGTTTTTTTTCTGTTTTTAAAATTTAAAAGCCTTTTATACGCATTGAAGAGTTAAAGCCGGGATTCTCTGATTACCGTGAGCTGGGCAGTATACGTACCGAAGTGACATTTTCAGTTGCAGAAGATGGACATTGAGGAGATGGACGATGTCAGCCCCTGAGCGCTCAATGGGTGTGACCCAGCGCTCCTGTATACCTGCAGCTTCACTGATCTCTCTCCTGAGCCTTAGTGGACACCTGAAGCTTCTCTGATCTCCATCCTGTGCCCTTACAGACACCTGAAGCTTCTCTTATCTCCATCCTGTGCCTTTATGGACACCTGAAGCTTCTCTGATCTCCATCTTGCGCCTTTCTGAACACCTGAAGCTTCTCCGATCTCCATCCTGCGCCTTTCTGGACACCTGCACCATTCTGTCTGGAGTCCTGAATCTTTTAGGGGGATTCCCTTGACTTTGGCTCCCCTTGTCCCCCTCTCACACCCCCATCTCAATCTCAGGGGGTCGGACATGCTGAAGTGCATCCAGTTGGGGCGCTGCAACCGCCACATTGAGTCGGTGGACAAGCGGCACTGCTCCCTGCAGGCGGTGCCTGATGAGATCTACCGCTATAACCGCAGCCTGGAGGAGCTGCTGCTGGATGCTAACCAGCTCCGCGAACTCCCCAAGGTGAGCAGGCAGTGGTCCACCTAAGAGGTCCAGACTTGCACCAGACAGGCACCATGAACAAGTTAGAGCAAAGAAACCCCCATCTCTTGCCAGCTCGGATCTGTCACTGTATTGTGCTTTTTTTGGCCCTTATAGGGCTATGGTATAGAAGCTGTCCTAGTTATTGCATAACTTTTCTCTTTTTGATTCCGATATAGCTGTATGTGACAGAATCCTTTGGGTGTGATTCAAATCACGAATTTTTGAGAAGGCTATTCTTTTATGTCATCTATGGTTTCCAAACGACACAGGGCAAAGGTTTGATTTGCAGGGTAGGGGCAGAAGAGGGAAGTAGGGGGCTGGTGAGCCCCCTGTAGAGGGTGCACCGCTTGGATCGGCTGTGAGACACTGGGGGTGGCATGCCATGTGTTTGCTGGGGTTGAGGGGGGGTGTACATTTTAATCAGCTGCTAACGTTCAGTTTTATGTTGCTTTGTCATTAATATCGCTGTTGGAGGTAGATGTTAATTTCCTGTAATTATTATCAAAGCAGTGTTTTTCTGTCTGCTGCGACAGGCATCAGTTGGTGTCAGCTGATTTTGTTTCAGTCACTCGATTTATACATGTTTGCTCAGTTTGTTCTGCCAGACATGTAAGGAATGAGCTTAGATAGTGTTTTTTTATGAAGATGGACACTAAAAGTGGAAGATGCTGACTTCACCTGCAGCGTGGAGGTGTGCAGACTCTGCATGATTGGAATGAACTGTATGGTTCCTACAGGGTTTGGGCTCTGCCCACTCGGCCCTACAGACCGCGCGGGTTTGGGCTCTGCCCACTCGGCCCTACAGACCGCGCGGGTTTGGGCTCTGCCCACTGGGCCCTGCAGACCATGTGTGGGTTTGGGCTCTGCCCACTGGGCCCTGCAGACCGCGCGGGTTTGGCCTCTGCCCACTGGGCCCTGCAGACCGTGTGCGGGTTTGGGCTCTGCCCACTTGGCCAGCTACTGCTCCCATGGGTGCTGTCTAGTCTCTAGTATGTGTTGCTGCTCCCCAGCAAAGTGGCCCCCGATGATAAGGAGCAGTTAGTATGACATGTAGCTTCACGTGGAAAAATGCAGTCAGATTCATATGGGCTGGATCTGGCGACTGTGCTCAATTTCCCAAGATGCAGAGATCACTAAGCACTTACTACAACTTGTGTCCTGCTCTGAATGCACGTCGACCACATTTGGTACTCTGCGTTTGCATCAGAGCGTCAGTGTTTTGTACCAATGACAGAATGTGGGGACATACAGAGGAACGCCATCACTTCACCGTGCTCTGAGCCTCCTGGACATTGCATTGTTTTTGCCGGTATCACTTTATTCTGGTCCCTTTGTCTGATTCGTGAGAGGCTGCAGTGTTTGGGCAGCTTGCCTGTCGATCAGTGTACACCAGCATGTTCCCGCTCGCCATTCCCACAAACTGCTTGTCTTCTGCATAAAGGAGGTAGAATTTAGCTAAGCAATTGGCAGCTACCTTTCTGGACAAGTAAATGTGTATTTAATAGAGAAACTAAAGTAGATAAGTGAAATAAGTATCTTCCTGCTGTATGTAGGCAATTTTACGGGTTGTTTACGTTGGAAGCTTGTCTTGGTCTGTGTTCGTGGTCACGTTTTTGCACATCGGCCACAGAAAGAGGAGGGCTCTTGTGCATTCAGGTTCACTAGTGGTATAGAGCAGTGTTTCTAAAACCAGTCCTTGGGGATCCCCAGACGGTCCACGTTTTTGGTCTCTACCAGTTCCCACTGTTATAGAGGCATGTCTGTGAGGCCTTCAGGACATTGGCAGCAGTTATTTACGGTTGTTTAATTGGCTCTTTGAGCCCCGCCTTGCCCCGCCCCACCCTGTGTGCAGCCGTGGGTACAGATTGAGCCAGAGTGGTGAGGGTGTGGTGTTACAGCAGTACTAGCAGAGCTGCCTGTCATTACAAGTCTGAATGCTTCTAAATGCACATTTGAAATACGGGATAGTTGGCTAATTAATCTTAATCTGTTCTGAACCTGAGGTGTGCGTTGCTGGTGACACTGATGGGGAATCTGACTGTGTGATGAATGGATCTCTATCTTGGAGGGGAATCCCGGCTGTGTCATGAGACGATCTCTGCCTTGCAGAATCCAAATGTATGATGAGCAGATCTCTATCTTGGAGGGGAATCCGGCTGTGTGATGAGCGGATCTCCTCTTTGGAGGGGATTCCGGCTGTGTGATAAGTGTATATTTGCCTTTGAGGGGAATCTGGCTGTGTGATGAGTTGGTCTCTGCCCTGTTTGGTCTCCACGTAGTATAATCATCACAGAGGGACTCCTGGCAGTCACACGTCACACTCTGGTTCTGCTGCAGTTTTTATGACGTTTTAATACTGTGTATTCATGTTGTTCAGAAGCTCCAGGATATAGGGGATGGACCTCATGTGGCTGCTGAGTGCTCTACGTTCAGGCTGTGTTCAGCACTGAACTTCCATTGTACTCTCCCCTTTTGGACATTAGTTCTGGTTGGTCAGGTGGTTTTGAGCTCTGTGTTTCACTTTTAGCCTGAATGTGCAGAGCTGAATTTCTTTGTTGCTTGTGTTTGTGAAGCTTAACACCTGCCAGACGGTGCCACCCTGCCTCTCCTTGATGACATAATCTGTAGTTGTTTCGTGTGCCTGGTGCGTGCTCCTTATTCTGTTCCTATTCCCATTTCTGTGCCTGTTCCTATTTCAGTTCCTGTCCTGTTCCTGTGTCTTTTCCCATTCCCATCCCTGTTCTCATGCCTATACCTGAGCCTGTTCCTGCTCCTGTTCCCATTCCTGTTTCTGTGCCTGTTCCCAAGCCTGATCCTGTTCTATTGCCTTTTGTTCCTGTTTGCATCCGTGTTCCTGTTTTCGTTTCTGTCCTGTTCTTGTTCCTGTGCCTGTTCCTTTTCCTGTGTGTTTCTGATGAGTCAGGGGACTGGAAGGAGTTTGTTCCGTGAACAGTGTGCTTTGGACAAGCTGGTACATCAGAGAGTGGCAGCAATGATGATGGTGATGATGATGATGATGATGATGATGATGATGATGATGATGACTGTCGAGGGAGAGAGATGTGCTGTGTGTAAGTGTGGCCTCTGCTGCTATTGTGCTCATAATGGTTACTTTGTTAAGGGCTGTGCTGTTAGCAGTGATCTGGCTTAACAGGACTGTGTGTGTGTGTGTGTGTGTGTGTGTGTGTGTGTGGCCAGCAGCAGTAGGAGCAGTGCTTTCAGTAAGCCTTTCTCTAACAGATGGGCAGCTGAGAGGACTGTGCAGCACAGCACAGTGTCAGTGTATCTTTACATCCCATGAATGTGGCTGCTATGAGTTTTAATGCTTTCTAATATGGATTTAAATATTAGCACACAGTGAGGCTCAGAAGTCTTCCACCTACAGCTTTTCAGCAAAGTCACTCAGAACCATTAAACCTAAAATGGCCTGTTTTAGATTTAATTACGATGATAGATCCAGCCTTTTTTTTTTTTACCCGTATGCTAATAGCTAAGTCCTCAGTTCACTAAGGCTTTCAGGAGACAGAACATAGCATGTTTCTCTCCCAGAGCTCCTGATTTGGAGGAGAGTTGCATCCCGCTGGCCCTGCATGTGCGATCACACGCTTCCGCATTCAGAGCCTGTGTTCCCGCTTGTACAGACTTGCAGGAGCCACAGATGCTGCCTGGGCCGACATGCAGGCACAGCCCCCTGTGATCGCATATCGCTGCATTCACCCTGGGCATTTATCAAATTTCAGCGATGAATGGAGTGGTCCTTACGTTCTTTCTGCGCGTTTCTGTACCAGCAGGTTTTAGTGTGTTCAGGGGTCGGGTGACCCTTCAGTGGTGTGTGAGTGGAAGGTGTTATCCTTGCATCTCATTTGATAAAGCTTGCGTTCTGATGTAGTCAGGAATGGAGCGGTGTGGATGGTCTGGGGATGTGTGGGCCTGTAACTGAGGCTAGTCTGTGTTTCTCATCCCCATCTGTCAGCATTATCTTTGCAGAGAACAGACCGAGTTCCACTGTGCTGTAAAGTTTGAGGCGTTTAGTCAGTAATAGTCCTCAGCAGACGGTTGCAGGCAGGTGGATCGGGATTCGTTCTGTCTGCTGGGCTCTGCCCTGGAATGTGGGCATGGTGCGCTTTTCCATGATTTCCTAGACCAAAAAGGGGAATAGAGCTGATTTCATTGAGATTATTTGCGCCTGAATGCAGACATTACCAAATGCTGCTGTCCCATGGTTTTCACAAGCATTTTTGTCATTTGCCTGGTTTTGCCTATTCTCTGTGGACAGGAATGCTGTGTTTATTTCCTGCAGGTGGAAATGCTGGGCCTGTTGCTGACTCCCAGATATCCTGGCTGAGAGGGTCTGCTGGGGGTTTGTGGGAGCGTAGCCCTGGCTGGGAGGGACTACCGGGGGTTTGTGGGAGCGTAGCCCTGGCTGAGAGGGGCTGCCAGGGGTTTGTGGGCGCATAGCCCTGGCTGGGAGGGGCTGCAGGGGGTTTGTGGGAGCGTAGCCCTGGCTGGGAGGGGCTGCCAGGGGTTTGTGGGAGCGCAGCCCTGGCTGGGAGGGGCTGCCAGGGGTTTGTGGGAGCACAGCCCTAGCTGGGAGGGGCTGCTAGGGGTTTGCAGGAGCATAGCCCAGTTTTGATGAAGAGTATACAGGCGCATGATACACAGGGCCATGGACTTGCAGGGCTGGGGGCAATGAACTGGTAATTGACTCTGCTGGGGGGGGGGGGGGTACTGAACTAGATCATCATGTGAACCTGCTGCTCTGCTGTGCCAGTCCCATACTGAAGGTAGAGAGGTACCCTGGTCGTTATTTTTGTAAACAGAAGCATGTGGATCTCTGTTTGTGATGCCCATAAACAGTACATGGCATCTGTACATGCATGCAGAGTAGACCTCGCATCCTTCGCTCATAAGATGGAGCAGCCGTTTGGTCAGGAAATCCAGCAGTCAGCAGTGTCGCAAACTTGATTGTGTGTTTGTCATTTTTGTGACAAAAATGGATGTACCTTCTGGGCAATATGGTTGTTGGGACATACCGTACCAGTTAAAAGTCTAGACACCTGCTTTTAATGCATTTGTCTCTGTTTTATCTGTGTTATTCACTTCATAGAAAGCTTCGAGGCAATGAAGTAATATGTGTCAAATATTGTAACAGCCAAGAGAAATGTTCAGCTTCTCAAAGTTTTCTCAAACTTTAGAGATCTTTCGCTTTGACAGCATTGCAGACTGCTGACATTCTGTCAAGCAGCTTCCCAATGCACAGTCATCCCCTGGAATGCGTCTCCTACAGTCCTGAAGGAGATTCCACAAGTTCTGGGCACAAGTCATCTACCTTGCTCTTACTCTTTGATCCAACACATCCTAAACCCGCCCTGTAGGGTTTAGGTCAAGGGATTCTGAGGGCCAGGTCGCGTCATCTGTCGCAGCACTCAAGATAATACTTCCTACATAATCTCGAGGTGCGCTTAGGGTCGTTATCGTGTTGGAAAACAAATGACTTTCAGTAGGTGTGTCCAGGCATTTGGCTGGTACTGAAAGAGCTGGTCCTCCTCCAGGGAAAAACAGAGACTGCTCTATATTATTAGTTCAATAGTTGAGGGAGGGGCTTCACCTGCCCTCCCCCGGACTTGTACAACAAAGTCGTTTGGCCTGTTCTCGCTTCTGTGCCGAACATGGTCAGTGTTTAAAAGCTGCCTGAAGTTCTTGGAGGTTTGTGATAGCTGGCCATTTGTTTTTTTTTAGCTCGTTTCCCTGTGGGAGTCTTCTGAAATGCATTAGTGTACCTTGTAGGTTTTCCCAAACACAGAAGATAAAGTTCAGGTGGCACCGTCTGAGAGAGCTAGCTTCCCATTGGCTGGCTTCCAGAATGGTGTCGGTTGATGGATTGTTCACTGGATAAAGCGATGGCACCTTTAAATGTTGTAATATGTTAATTACTCCCTATTGACCTGGATTTGAATTCGTTTTGGATTGCAAATGCTTGCAGGATGTAAGCGCAGCCCTGCTCTGTCTGAGCAGCCCAGATTTTTCTCGATCTCACTCCTCCGCACTCAGGCCTGTGCCCTACAGACCTCATCGTAGCTGGTGCCGCTCTTTTCACTAGTGATTCATCAGTGGGGGAAACCAGTTGTTCTGGAATGTTCTCCGAACTCGTTCTCTCCTGTATAGATTATTGTGTTTCATCTCACTCTGAAGCAGTCCTTTGACAGGCTCCATCCGACCACGATTGCAAAATGGGCTTAATGTTTTGTGTGACTTTTTGCATTTGCATTTAACGTATTTAGCGAAGGCTTTTGTTCAAGGCAACGAAAAAGTGAGGTAAATGGCGCAATGCAAACATGCATGCGTTCATGGTGTCAGATAGGCTTAAGTGTAGCTAGGCTGAGTTTCCAGTGAATGCCCAGGTACAAGTGTGAGCAGCATCAGAGCAGGAGATACACAACTTCTAACAAAGCTGGAACCTCATAAATAATGTTCAAAAACCAGCTCTGGTGTGGAATGTAGATGTAGGAGCATTCTGGTGTTTTCGGTCTCTCCGTGTACCCGACAAGGCAGCAGTGCATTGTGGGTCTCTCTGTTCCCCTCAAAGAGTACAAACCCACAATGGCCATACCAGGATGATGATGTTTCTGTGTTTTCATTGTTGTGCCTGACATGGATGGTGAATTGTGGCTGGTTTTTATTTTTTGGCCTTTTCACCTCCACTCAGAAATCCCCTACAGACACAAAATGCCTCAACAAGAATTATAACTGGAAGGAGTTTATATAGCTGCTTTACGTAGGGTGGTGTGTGGCTCAGTGGGCTATGCTGACGTTTCTCTGATCGGAAGGTCTCCGGTTTGAGCCCCACCCTCGGCAGAATAGTCACTCGTTTGTGGGCCCATGAGCAAGGCCTTTAGCTCTGTGTTGTGACCCCCCAAAGTTGCTCTCACTTGTCTGTCTGTCTCATGAGGAGCAAAATGGGGTTTTAAAGGGCCAGACTGTTGCTGTTTAATGGAACTGAGTAAACTGTACAATCCAGATCTGATACAGAGACTCTGGAATGCAGACTCTTCAGATTCCTCCCGTCAATAAAAAATCTTCGGTCACGGGCTCCTGTTCTGTGCCAGAATATGTGACGGATTCAAACTGAAGACCTGTTTCTGTACTGTAGCTTCCTGTAAATGAAGCTGCTGCTGTAACCATATGTGTCTGCGGTGGGCAGTCGCTTCACCTTTATTAGGTACTAATCCACTCTACTTGTGCACGGTTGTTACCCTAAACCAGTGTTTCCCAATCCGGTCCTCAGGGATGCACATTCGGTCCATGTTTTTGCTCCCTCTGAACTCCCTGGCAGATGTTCCACATTTTTGCTCCCTGCCAGCTCCCGGTAGCAAAAACGTGGACTGTCTGTGAGTCCTTGAGGACCGGTTTGGAAACCCTGCTGTAAACTAGCACGCCGAGAACCCATTCCAGAATGGGTTACTCTTCAGTGTACCGGTCCCCCCCAAACCTTCATGCAATGTATCAGCCAGGTGATTTTGTTTCCAGGTTTTTACAGGCTGTTGGTATGTTTCCAATATTGTCAACCGGGAGTGTGCAATACGTCTTTGATGAGCTGATATAAGCTTGTTAGCAGTGTGTCGTGCTGTTTGTAGAATAGATTTGGTGACAAAGGCCTTGTTTGCTTATAGGGCGATGTGAACCTGGCTGCTCGCTTGGCTCATCTTCTCCGGATCTCGAGGATCCGATGGCAGCTGACTTGTGTCTGAGACGGCATAAAGTTCAGTTCCTGCCACACACGATTCCCCAGCATGCTGGGGGGGGGGGGAGGCTGTACTGGAAGGCTGTGCCTTTGACACACACGAGCGTGGGGTTGGTGTTAAGCTTAGGATTAGTTGAACGGGAATCTGCCTTCTTTACTGGTCAGAAAACCTCCTTTGAGATTCTCTGAGATGAACCTGCCTCATGTCTAGGTGACACTTGTTGAAGTTTACTTTCATTGCGTATGAGTCCTTCAAAGGCCTGGCTAGCAGTGTGTGGGACTGGGGGAGATGGCAGGAGATCCTCAAAGGCAGGAAGCCAGGCAGGCAGGAGAGTAATGGAGAGCAGAGCATGCTGGGAACTGTCCCAACACTACCAGGTTCACATCAAGGGTGGATGTGTGGCTGTATTGTCCACATGGGGAGAGGCTGTAAGAATACTTCCACAATAATAATAATGACAATAATAATAATAATAATAATTTATTATTATTATACAAATAGATAGCACTGGATTTGTTCTCTCTCTATCTGTATTACCGTCACTAATTTTATTCCTATTCTGTAAATATTTATTCATTTTTTTATATTACTACAATACTTTCTAAGTTAGTTTGCACCACATTTATTTGTTTGCATCGTGTGCCCCATCTTTGCACTTTGTTTGGCCCTGTATGTATGTTCATCTCTGCACTATGTTCTTGCTGCTGTTGGCACCAGAATGTCCCACTGGGATCCATAAAGTCCATCTTTAATCTTAACCGTCAGAGTAAAAGTGCTTTATGAGGTTCTTTATTGTGGTCTTAGGGCAAAATAAGCTATATAATGAGATGTTAACAGCCAGAGCAAAGCTGGCACTTCGATGGTCGGCCACCTGACTGACGGCGTGACTCCTCTGTCCCTTTCAGCCTTTCTTCCGGCTGCTGAACCTGCGCAAGCTGACCCTCAGCGACAATGAGATCCAGAGGCTCCCCCCAGAGGTGGCCAACTTCATGCTGCTGGTGGAGCTGGATGTCTCGCAGAATGGTGAGGACACCGTGCTACGGCACACGTGCAAGCTGTCACCCGCCTGGCTCCACCCTCACCATCTACCCAGCATCCTCTAGTGCGGCCTGTGACTCTGCTCTGGTGTAGCAGGGTTGTGTTATTTGCTCGGCTGATCTATGTGCTGTAGCCTCCCTAAATCTACGCTTAGGGATGAGCAACCATTAGAGATTGTTGTGCTGTGAGGTTTGGATATCTGGAGATGATCCTAGACACTGTTTTTTACTTGTGAAATTAATCTTACCCGTTTATTTGAAAAATTTTCTTTCCATTAGAATCTTCTTTGTGAAAATATGGCCTTTTCTTCTTTCTTTTCTCTGAAAGCACGACCTCGTATCTTGGTCGAGCTGCTTCCAGTACAGAACAGTCAGAACCAATTTCTGGGGACCTTTCTTAGTAGCCACAAGAGGTCTGAGTCAGCCGCTTGGGTCTCTCCTGTAGTCTGCAGCCGTATGTTAGTTACGCGAAGACGATCTGAAAGTGTGCTTTTGTTGTGAAACCGCACGCTCCTCTGGTGTGAATCTGCGGCCTCCTCCTGCAGACATTCCTGAGATTCCTGAGAGCATCAAGTTCTGCAAGGCGCTGGAGATCGCAGATTTCAGCGGAAACCCTCTCTCCAGGTCAGTGCGTCCCGACGCCCGCCGCGTCCTACGCCTCATTCTGCCTCTGGAGAAGGTGGGGCGGCCCTGCACGCGGCTTGTTAGCCGCCCAGCTCCAACAACATGACGTTTACATTCTGCTTTGTTTACATTAGCAACCAGCTTTGCTAAAGCGCCATACAAAAGGGTTTGAATGGTCAGGACACCGCACTTTAACCCCAGTAACCCTCCCAGTGATAAGAGAGGCTGGTGCCGCCTCAGACTCAGACAAGTGGATCTTTTTAGCCTTAGTAGAGGTGGGGTTCACCTACTGCCTCTGCCTGCTTTCCACTGGTTCGTCTGCACTGCAGCCTCCATTTCAGTTCTCAGAAGGCTTAAGAGATTCAAGGCCTCAAAAGCTTTATTGTCAGTTGTACGTATATAAGTACAATGAAATGGTTGAATGCATGCAGACATAAAGGGCATATAACAATCAATAGCAACAATGAGCGATAACAGAATAGAGACAACAATATACAATATTCTGCACAGACATTACACAGTACTGTGCCAAAGTCTTAGGCGCTGAAGGAAAATGTTTGAGGCTATTTAACTAGGTGGCAAGTGTATGTTTGTTCAGAAAAAAACAATTTTTTAACATTAGAACACAGTCAAATTAACAGTAATACCATGAAAATTAACAAGAATCTCAAATGATCTCCATAAAGTTACTGATATCTTATAGGACAGCTAGATGAACACCGCCTCAGTTCCCAAACCTCTCCTCAGGGGCACCTCAGCCGAATCATAGATTTATTAAATTTCGCCACCAGCTCATTTAATTAACCTAATTAGTTTAATAACGGTATTGATTAGCCAAATACGGTGTGCTAGTGGTCGATTAAAAAAGACGCATGGGTGTATTCGATGTTTGCTACATATGCTGGGGTGACTTGAGGTTCTGAAATGGCTAAGCTGTCAGACTCTGGCAAGCATGCACCACCAGGAAGATCATTTAAGCATTATTTTCTTTGGCTCCCCAAGGAGGGCGAGGTTACATTGTGAAGAGCAAGTTATGGCGTTTCTTTCTTCAGTAATTAGTGCTTTTGCTGTAGACCCTCAGCAACATGCAACAAAAGCAGGTACAGATTTTAGGTGTCATGGAAGCATATTACATTGGGCCCCCAACCCAGACAATCCACTTATGTCGTGATTTTTTAGGCCCCCTGTCAGTCGTCTTAACTTCACGGCGCCCGTGAGCAGCAGTGCCCTGGCTGCACCACCCTTGCCGTGCGCCCTGCACTAGGCAGGCAGCGCCTTTCACGCAAATCACAGCAGCACTATGCCTGGGGGGGGGGGGGTGGACTCAGACGGGAGTAGCCAGCAACGTGTCTCTACTCCTTCCTAAATTGTCCTAAGTTCCATGTTATTAGTCCCCCTCCCCCACTTTTCTCCAGTGTGTTTTCTCCCCAGTACCTGAAAAACAAGTCGTATTTGGTTCCCAGTGCCGAGGCCGTGCAAACACGTTGTGCACCTTGGAATGCCATTGAGTGATTAATAGTGAACAGGGTGGGGTGATCATCCTGCTGACACCGCTCAAGTGGCCTCAGCGGGGAGGGCAGTTCAGCACAGCACTGCACTTACAGATCTGCTCCCCTGCTCCCCTTTCGCCCCCCCCCCCTCGGTCTCTCCGCAGGTTGCCGGATGGTTTCACGCAGCTTCGGGGACTGGCTCACCTGGCCCTCAATGACGCCTCCCTGCAGATTCTGCCGGATGACATCGGCAAGTGAGTGAGCGGTTCGCACACTTAAACACTCACACAATTAGCTTCATACCGACTGCATTCCTGGATGTTCACACTTCCTGTCACAACACTCCAGGCGATCGTGTACTTTGATACCAGGCCAGCGGTGGCGCTGTAGAACACGGCTGCTCTTTAGTCGCGTTTGTGAAGTATTTTAATTAGTTTTGCATTGAAAAAACAAGTGTTTTACTGAACCTAACCATGCATTATTTTCTTCCAGTATTCAAGAATACATACAGGTATATAGAGTTGCAGTTACAAATATATTTATTGTTATTTATTATTTACAGTCATCTGGCAATCTTTTTAATCCCATAGAGAGGAATCCAATGAATGCTGGTATTTCCTGACGTCCTCAGCCAGTCATTCTTTGAATCTGTTACCCATATTTGTTTCCATCCTATCAGAGAGGGTGTTTTTATTCAGCCTTTGGCCCGATCTCCTTTCTTGCTTCCTGCTACTTTTCCTCCGGTTGATGAGCGATCGAGGACCGTTTGCGTCACAGAATGGACCGTCATTGCTATTTCGATTTTCAAGTGGCCCCCAAACACTCCACGCCCAGCTACTGTGATAAAAATTGTTATGACAGCCACACGCTCTGGCATGTCCACGTCTGCAGGAAACGTGAATCAGCCCTTGGGGTTGGGGTTACGGTTAGGGATAGGGTTAGTCCATGCCTGTCTGCATTCTTTAGCCACTTGCTGTGGGTGTGCAGTTTGCTTGTCCTCCCCATGTTGAGCAGGTTTCTTGCTGCAGATCTAAGACATCCAGTTTGGCTAATTAACATTTCACAATTACCTGTAGTGGGTATGTAAGTGTGTCCCAAAATAGACTGGCTTCTTGTCCAGAGAGTCCCCTGCCTTGTGCCCTGCGATGGACTGGTATCCCCTTCAGGGTATCCCCTGCCTTGTGCCCTGCGATGGACTGGCATCCCCTTCAGGGTATCCCCTGCCTTGTGCCCTGCGATGGACTGGCATCCCCTTCAGGATATCCCCTGCCTTGTGCCCTGCTATGGACTGGCATCCCCTTTAGGGTGTCCCCTGCCTTGTGCCCTGCTATGGACTGGCATCCCCTTCAGGGTATNTCCCCTGCCTTGTGCCCTGCTATGGACTGGCATCCCCTTCAGGGTATCCCCTGCCTTGTGCCCTGCGATGGGCAGGCATCCCCTTCAGGGTGTCCCCTGCCTTGTGCTTGGCGATGGACAGGCATCCCCTTCAGGGTGTCCCCTGCTTTGTGCCCTGCGATGGACAGGCATCCCCTTCAGGGTATCCCCTGCCTTGTGCCCTGCGATGGACAGGCATCCCCTTCAGGGTGTCCCTCTGGGGTGTTCGCCAGCCTTAAGCCACCTGAGAGATTCAGGCCCCCGACCACAACCACCACAATCCTGGAGCAGTCAGGAGACTGGTGGACAGTGAATTTGATATTTGATCAGTCTGTGCTCATGTTTAGATGCTGGTGTAAGGCCTCCAACATATTGGTACTCTGTCACTCTGTGCCTAATTAGTTAATGATGGAATTTTCTGTTTGTGTCCTGATCCTATTACATAAGAAATTTACAAACGAGAGGGGGCCACTTGGCAGCCAAAGAGCAGCTGTGTAGCTCCATAGCTAAACCCCTCACCCTAGCTGTGTCAACAATCTCATGAGCAGAGCTGCTTTTTAACGGCTGAACAAATCTCGCTAAAGTTGTGCAGCGTGTTTTCTAACGAGCCACTGTGTTTGGCAGCTTGGGCAACCTGGTGACCCTGGAGCTGCGGGAGAACATGCTGAAATCCCTGCCCATGTAAGTATAGCGTCAGTGGGGTCTGGGCTAAGGGTCAGAGAGCCTCCAGTCATTGTCCGTAGAAATGAAATGTCCTGCAAAGCTGAGCGGGTGCCAGGGAATTGTGCTATGCTAACACACACACTGCGGGGCCCTGCCATGTTAACACACACACTGCGGGGCCCTGCCATGTTAACACACACACTGTGGGGCCCTGCCA